CAGGAAGTCCCAGACTCTACAGACGTCCTTCAGGAAGTCCCAGACTCTACAGACGTCCTTCAGGAAGTCCCAGACTCTACAGACGTCCTTCAGGGAGTCCCAGAATCTACAGACTTCCTTCAGGAAGTCCCAGACTCTACAGGCTTCCTTCAGGGAGTCCCAGACTCTACAGACGTCCTTCAGGAAGTCCCAGACTCTACAGACGTCCTTCAGGAAGTCCCAGACTCTACAGACGTCCTTCAGGGAGTCCCATAATCTACAGACTTCCTTCAGGAAGTTAGAGAATTTCTCAGGGCAGGAGGTCAGGTCTCTTATCCTAATCCTTATCAGGGACTGGTCGATTCGTACGTAACAGTTTCGGATAACATCAGTTCGGTACACAAATACCCAGGGGCCAGATTCACGAAGCAGTTACGCAAGTACTTACGAACGTGTACATCTTTCCTCAATCTTTAACAGCTTTAGTTACATTTACTAAACAGTTTACACGCATGAAAAGTTTTCAATCAACTGTTGTTATTGTTATAAACAGCCTCCTGGCTCTTCGAGGCTCATTAACTGTTTAATAATTATAAACAAAGCCGACAAAAATTTACAAATGATGTACAGGGGCCAGATTCACGGAGCAGTTACGCAAGTACTTACGAACGTGTACATCTTTCCTCAATCTTTGACGGCTTTGGTTACATTTATTAAACAGTTTACAAGCATGAAAACTTGCCAATCAACTGTTGTTATTGTTATAAACAGCCTCCTGGTGCTTCGGAGCTCATTAACTGTTTAATAATTGTAAACAAAGCCGTCAAAGATTGAGAAAAGATGGAGAGGTTCGTAAGTGCTTGCGTAACTGCTTCGTGAATCTGGCCCCAGGTTCGTAAGTGCTTGAGTAACTGCTTCGTGAATCTGGCCCCCAGGTTCGTAAGTGCTTGCGTAACTGCTTCGTGAATCTGGCCCCAGGTTCGTAAGTGCTTGCGTAACTGCTTCGTGAATCTGGCCCCAGGTTCGTAAGTGCTTGAGTAACTGCTTCGTGAATCTGGCCCCCAGGTTCGTAAGTGCTTGCGTAACTGCTTCGTGAATCTGGCCCCAGGTTCGTAAGTGCTTGCGTAACTGCTTCGTGAATCTGGCCCAGCTCATCCGCAGACAATTTTGTATACACGAACCTTTGCGTATATACATGTGCGCTGGCTTGTGTTCGCTGCTGTTCTCGTCTTCCCAAACCATAAAATAACCAAAAACAAATTAATAGAAATTAATAATAAGTTAAGAATATGAATAAATAGATGGCACATGATTATATAATTAGCTCATGTCTTCAAATAATATGTAAGTTAGGTTCTTGAAAAGAAGGTAGTGATTTAATTGTATAATTCTTTGTAAATTTCTGGTATAAATCTCTGGTGAGCCCTCACTTGGATTACTGTAAAAAAGTAATTGCAGAACTCAAGTTACCAAACACACACCGAAACTACGACGTTGGTACAACGTTCGAACAAGTTTTAACACCTCCTAACCAGTTATAACAACCAATATAGCAAGTTGTAACAACGTTCTAATACGTCATAAATACGTTAAGCCAAGATGTAACAACTTTATTACAAGTTGTAACAAGCGGAAAATAGAGACAGTTACGGTTTGTGTTTCCAGGGAAGTTACCTAATACCAACACGGTATAAAACCATAAGCTACGACGGGACTTGTAGATCAATACATTCGCAAGTGATAATAATAATAATACAGCTGATGCCATCTATCTGCAGAAAAGAACACTATCAACAGGCCAACAGTATAGCCATAAGATACAGCATATGCCATCTGTTGCCACCAAATTACACTATCAACAAACAGACCAAACCAGCGAAATACAGCTGGCGCCATCTGTTAGCGCGACATTGCATTATCAATAGCCGAACAGCAGCCCATAAGGCGGGTTCTTATGCTAAAGTAAAAATTCCCGCGCTAGTATGTCATTGGTAGAAATTCTTTGTTGACATTGACCACAGCCAATCACAGGATCAGGCAGAGTTGCCACGTACTTGATAAATCATCTTTGTTCAGCACACCAGCCCTGCTTATGACATTCAGCTTCAACTTTAATCTGTCTAAAAAGTGAATTGTTAATTATTTTAAAGTGTCAATAAAATTATAATTAAATGTTGCAGAATATAACAGATGTTATAGAAAAATTGCCTGGCTACCTAACTAGTGACGTCATGAATGGGTGATGCCTCAATTAAGTACCATTGGTGGGACAATGCTCTGCCCTCTTATTGGACTAAATTATCCAGTTAGATGGAAATTCCTGTCAAATACAAAACAAAGAGGTTGTTGTACAAAAGGACGTATTTCTTGGTTAGCATTTCATTTATAGAAAGTATGTTGACATTCCCTGCAACAGCCAATCATAGGAAGGTATTTGGAAGAAGCTCCGCCTCCTAACTGACGTCATCAGGGGCACCGATCTATCATATGGCGTTCTGTTTCATCTCTAATACATCTAAAAATATGCATTTTTCGATCGCTATGATAATTAAAAATATAAAATATAAAAGTTGTTACACAAATAATCACGTAGAATTAATACGTGATGAATAATAATATGACAATCAATCAATTCAGCAGTCTCCGTGGTGTAGTGGTAAGACACTCGCCTGGCGTTCCGCGAGCGCTATGTCATGGGTTCGTATCCTGGCCGGGGAGGATTTACTGGGCGCAATTCCTTAACTGTAGCCTCTGTTTAACGCAACAGTAAAATGTGTACTTGGATGAAAAAACGATTCTTCGCGGCAGGGGATCGTATTCCAGGGACCATAGGATTAAGGACTTGCCCGAAACGCTACGCGTACTAGTGGCTGTACAAGAATGTAACAACTCTTGTATATATCTCAAAAAAAAAAAACAATGTAGACACTTTATATCCACAAATGAAAATGTAACAATTTCATGTTAAACAATTTCTCCGTGTCTCAGTCTCCGTGGTGCAGTGGTAAGACACTCGCCTGGCGTTCCGCGAGCCCTTTGTCATGGGTTCGTATCCTGGCCGGGGAGGATTTACTGGGCGCAAATCCTTAACTGTAGCCTCTGTTTAACGCAACAGTATAATGTGTACTTGGTTGTAACAAGGATTCTTCGCGGCGGGGATCGTATTCCAGGGACCATAGGATTAAGGACTTGCCCGAAACGCTACGCGTACTAGTGGCTGTACAACCATGTAACAACTCTTGTTCAAGTTCAAGTTCAAGTATGTTTATTGAGATAAGCAATAAATGCATCTCAAAGGGATAGAGTAGCTTAGGCTATTTCTACCCCCCTCTACTTCAAGTCCCTCAAGGGGCGCACAAATTCAGTGAGTACAAATAGACATATAACAGTACAAGAAACCCATTTAACATTGCATACAGCAAGTACAGCATATAATTGTTACATTCTTGGGGCATTATTATTTATCATTATTATTATTATCATAAAAATTATCAGACGTATATCATGCTATTCATTAACAAGAAAGTTAAAGTAACTTAAGAAATTTCCAGTTTTCTTTTTCTTTCGTGGTTATACTTTGTCATATAATTGCTTATAGTGATTATATAAATATTGAACACATATTTTACTGCATTACACCTTTGCAATAATCCTCAAATTATGCTACAATGTATCTAGTGATAACCCTCAAATATTACTTTAATTTACCTTTGTCAAATTTTCTTACAATGTACCTGTTAACATTTCTAATTTTTTGATAGAAATGACCTACATAAAATTATCTGTTAGATTAGGTCGGGGCCGATTCACGAAAGCACTTACGCAAGTACTTTTGAACCTGTACATCTTTTCTCAATCTTTGACGGCGTTGTTTACAATTATTAAACAGTTAATGAACTCCGAAGCACCAGGAGGCTGTTTATAACAATAACAACAGTTGAATGGGACGTTTTCATCCTTGTAAAGGTTTTAATAAATGTAACCAAAGCCGTCAAAGATTGAGGAAAGATGTACACGTTCGTAATTGCTTTCGTGAATGGCCCGAAACGCTACGCGAGCTAGTGGCTTTACAAGAATGTAAAAACATCACTGCTATGTACTTCCATAAACCCAATGTATCTTCTTGTATATATAAAATAAAATAAAATAAAGTATTGGGTATATATGTGTGGGATCCGTCTTGTGTTCTAAGTGACAAGTGTCCGTAATCTCTCATAATTGTGCTCATGACAATCTCTCGTAATTGTGCTTATAATAATAATATCTCTTAATTGTGCTCATAATAATAATCTCTCGTAATTGTACTCTCATAAACCTAATATACCTTCTTGTATATATAAATAAATAAAATTAAAAAATATATAATACAAAAATGTTTAGGCTCGTCGCCCCGGGTCAACACTGCTGTTGTTTACATCTCAGATTTCCCGGTATTTTGGTCATTAATAGCCCAAAGGCCCTGATTTTCACCCCAGGATTGGAAGAAATTTCTGATTTTCACCCCAGGATTGGAAGAAATTTCTGATTTTCATCCCAGGATTAAAAGAAAAGGTATAACATATAGATATATACGGATATCTTTAAGTTATATCTCTTAAATATCACACTTGAGTTAGTGGGACACGTGTGTGTCTGTGTGTATTCGCCTAGTTGTACTCTCCTAGCTGTACTTGCGGAGGGTTGAGCTCTCCCTCTTTGGGCCCGCCTCTCAACTATCAGTCGATCAACTGATTTTTTCATACACACATTCCCAGGAAGCAGAGCATAGCAGCTGTCTAACTCCCAGGTACCTATTTACTGCTAGGTAAACAGGGGCATTAGGGGGAAAGAAACTCTGCCCATTTGTTTCTGCCTCCGCCGGGGATTGAACCCAGACCCTTAGGACTACGAATCCCCGATCGCTGTCCACTCAGCCATCAGGTCCCCTGCCGGTTGTGTGTGTGTACTTGCCTAATGTACTCACCCACCTTACTCGCCTAATTGTGCTTGCGGGGGTTGAGCTCTGGCTCTTTGGCCCCGCCTCTCAACTGCGCGTGTGTGGACATACATACATAAAGTCATACTATACATGCTAGGGCATGCGTGTATAAGCCTTGCTTAACTAAATGAATTTTGGGGTTCAATCCCTGAGGCCATTATGTGCCTCGGTAACCCCCCTTCCACTACTGCCCACAGCACAGGTATGGGGTGCATAATATAGGAGCTAAACTACTATACAAGATGGTTTTAACAAAGCTCATTTTCTGATTGTCATAACTGTGTATATTGCTCAGTTAGGATGTATTAGCATAAGCTTGGTTGCATTCAGGGTCTCGGGAGTACAGTCAGGTTCATTCTCGACTCACAATCGGGAATTCTTGCTCCGAATCCCCTATTCACCCACCAGTATAATAGGTACCCAGGAGTTGATCACCTTTTTGTAGTGTAATCCTGAGAAGGTTTTAGTAATTCAACCTTCGGGGACCTCAGTATAAGCCAAATATGTATAATGTATATGTACAGTGTTGCCTGTTTGCCGACACAATGAATCATTATTATTATTAATTATTGGGTTTGTATAAGGTTAGGTAGGCTTTAAAATCCATTGGCGAACCATCTTGAGAATGTGGGCCTCAAGGCCTTTAGAGGGATTTAGAGGGCCTCAAGTTATGTCAATCAATCTGTGTTACTATTGCTCTTCAAAAAATATATCCTCTCAGATACTAACCTAACCTATCCTACTCTATTCTATTCTGACCTTACCTTACCTCATCTCACTTTTTCTATCCTAAAGTAATCTATCCTAGCTTAACCTAATGTATCAAAACCTATCCTTAATTTACTTAATCTAATCTAATCTAACGTAACATAAAAGAAAATCTAACCTAACCGATAATAGAGCCCCTCTGGGGTCCTTCCAGAAAATGGCTTTTCATTACATTCAACGCTGGTTTTCTCTGGGATCTTTTTGAATTTCATTGTCAGGTGGCACTGCCTAGTTACAGTGATCAAAATATGAGTGTTCTTCAACCCTATTAGACAGGTACCTATATTGATCTGATATAGGCCTTGAAGTACAAAAGATGGTTTGACAATGGTTTTTAAACTTACCTCCCCTAACCTGCCATAGCTTAACCCAGGGTTCGGTCAAGTCACACACAGGCATTTCATCACAGCTCAGTTTCTGACTGTATGAACATTATTTGTTATGTTTGGCTGTGTTAGCTTAGCTCAGGTTCAGTGAGGTTAGGTAGTTTTTTTAAACTACCTGTCGGTGTTGGTGACCTGTCTTAGATATGATGTGAGTTGTATCTGCCTATTCGAACCCAATCTTCCCTAACAATCTAACCTCACCTAACCTTTAAATACATACAATGTGGTACAGTACAGTAATATTAGCTTGGAATTAATGATAATTATTTTTTTTAGGTTAGGCATTGCACATTGTAATTGGCCATGAAGTTCATAGTGGAGCATATCAGCAAAGGAGGTGGCCGTATTGGGAGGCTGACGGGTCTCCGCAGTCAGCCCAGTGTTGTCCACGAGACTCCCCTCACACTCATATCCACAGTCGGTGGCAGTGCACCTCATCTTACCCAGGTCAGGAGGAACGAGCTCGAAACACGGTTTAGAAACTCTTGTGGAAATGTTACTGTTCAATTGAACGATTTAGAAAGGTGTAATTATTATCAGGTTTCATAAATTGTTGATATTTTTGAAAGGTAAAAGCTATTCACACTCATAAATATATTAAATAAGTAATGGTAATGTCTTCACACAGACATAATAACATAGGATAAAAACCCACACTTGTGTATATGTGAAATTTACATAAGGAATTTACACCAAGTCTTTCGCACTCTCCTGAGTGCTTTGTCGAGGTCTGAGTGTGTGATTAGGACCAAACTTACATCTCAATATATGACTGTCTCAATGTCTAATCACACACTCAGACCTTGACAAAGCACTCAGGAAAGTGCGAAACTTGGTATAAATTCTTTACATAAATTTCCCAAATACTGTACACAAGTGTGGGTTTTTATCCTAATACATTTAATGTTGAATATCTAATGACTATATATTTGAAATTAAAGTGTACCTGGATTGTACCTGGATGGGGTTCAGGGAGTTGTTCTACTCCCGTAGCCTGTCCCAGGCCCAAGCTTGACTTGAGATTACGGTGTGTTATAAGGGCCCCAAGTTTTTTTTTGTGTTTTGATAAGAGAAAAAGAGTGTAATTATGTTTATGAACAAATCCACAAGGGCCGTGACGAGGATTCGAACCTGCGTCCGGGAGCATCCCAGACACTGCCTTAATCAGCAGTGATTAAGGCAGTGTCTGGGATGCTCCCGGACGCAGGTTCGAATCCTCGTCACGGCCCTTGTGGATTTGTTCATTTGATGCATCACGTTAGTGTGATTTCTGTGTGCGATTGTGTTTATCTCGTTTATCTCTACAGGACGTACTTCACCTCCTGGTGGATAAAGATGCACCCCTCTGTGTGCCCGCCCAACATTTTTGTGACCATGCTAAAGTTCTTCAGAGCTATAAGAAAGGGGTTGCTCACTTTTCTGCACTTCAGGTAAGTGTTCAGAATGGAAGGAGAGCAAACTCGTCAACATTAGTGAGAATAGAATCTAATACAATTGACTTCGTTCTAGACACCCAAACGGTGATCCCTGGCTCAATTCTTGGGCAGGACAGAAATGATTTTGGATGTTTCCTTTCACCTTATGCCTCTGTTTACCTAGTAGTCAATTTGGTACCCAGGAGTTAGGCGCTATTGAGGAGTTTCATCCTGAGAAGGGTCAGTAATTTGACATATGGGAGACCTCTTAGATGTCCCCCCTTAGATAGCTTAGAGATCAGCATAAAATCAGGATGTACTTTCTTATCTTTAAAACATGTATAACATCCAAGAATTAAGGACACTTCAGAATGCCCCCAAAGTCAGCCCGGATAGCAATACTGTATACAGTCGAACCTTAGAAATAAGATTTATTTTATTACGGCAATTGAAAAAACTTTGACCATCTATTGCCCCCTTTCCCCCCTTCCTCCCACCCCAAAAAAAAATTACACGAAGTGGCTATCCTGTGATAACGTGTTCCATGCAAGGTAGAGACACCGATGATGGCAGAATGCCCTCGGTATTAGTGTGGGTAGGTTGCCTGCATTTAGTCTACTTATAAGCTCATGTTAGGGTAAATTTGCGGGTTCTTGGTAACTTCAGCTAGTTTTGTTTGCAAGTTGAGTAAAATTGCTTTTAATAATTTATTTGAAAACCATATGTTATGGATTGAAGTAAATGTTTATCTGTAAATATATGCAGTACAACACTTTAGTTTGTAGAATCAATGCTGTACATACAATTTATTGTGCTGTTTTACAATATACTGCATCATTCAGACATTCTTATTGTGCAATTCTGTACTCTACAGATACTGTATATAATTTAAAACTAAATATTGAGACTATGATTCGTAGTGTGTGCGCCTGAGTCGTCAAGTTCAGGGTCACTGATTTGATTCCATCATTTGACCTCAATATTTATTTATAGGCTCATTACATTCTTGTGCGTGATTTAATGTGTATAGGAATTCATTCTTGCATTGAAAAAGGTGGGTATAGGCTGCACTAGAAATTTTGTACGAATGTGTTTGATTTTCCTGGATGATCTTTCAGTGGTTCTGTGAACTATTGAGACACCCTCCAGAATGAAACATTTCATTACACTGAATGGTGGATTTTTTATATCTTTTTAATCAGGGTCACAGTGTGTGCGTAACTGTTCAAGATGCCGGCAAAGCAACACCTAGTGGCTATAACGACAAAAAGGGTGTCTCTCTCTGGACGTATGGTGGTAGACGAATCATCACGACAGACGAGTGAGTCATTTTCTTAATGTTTCTGGATGGGACTCCTCGGAAGCCCTCAAGGCTGTACTCTGGCTTCACCAAGCATTTAGCCCAACACACCAGGCTTCAGAGACCCAACTGTTGCCTACCAGGAGCTATGGCCAAAACCTGGCTCCCTCTACAAGGTGAAGGGGGGAAGCAAGGGATTGAAGATACAAAAAAAATATATATATACCAGAAAGCATAGGTGCAATAAGCAATTGCCTAAAGAAAAGGAGGTACCCAGAGGGGAACAATGCAGGTGCATTTTCTGGTCTCTGTTTGTGGCTTGAATATGCTTTCCCACTGCCCTTTCCACCTGCACTTATGCCCTCTCGCCTGTTCATTTTCTTTAGGCAAGGGCAGCATTACTGTTATCCGTAGACTGGAAGGAATTGGCATCAATTTTCAGGTCTTTCTCAGGGGTCCTTTCCTTTAGAGCTGCCTACAGTGCCTCGTTTGCTCGTGCTGTGCTTATGCCGGGGCTTGGCGGCTGGAGAGACATGTCCAGGTGCCCTTTTTGATTCTCGAATGCCTGGGTGTTTTGTGCACAGTCTCAGAGTTTCTTTGGTTTACCTTTCCCCCTTTCTACCTTTTCCCTCTGATGACACGGGCCCTGCTCAGCCGCCATCTCCTTTCTTTATTCTGAACCTATTTGGGGGTTCTGGACCTCAGCTTGGGTCTCATCCCAAGTTCCCACCATGATGGTGAGAGGCAATGGACTTCTTACCAGTGGAAGACATACAAAATTGTGCTGAGATTGTGGTGATTTGATGGGGATTTGGCTTTTCTGTATCCTATGGGGCTTTACTCTCCGTCTTCATTTGAATTACAGGTATGCCCAAGTGGTTGAACCTGGATTGTACCTGGATGGGGTTCTCTTCTACTTCCCAAGCCTGGCCTGGGACCAGGTTTGACTTGTGAGAGCTTGGTTTAGTGGAGTTTGGCTCACTCTTATACCCTGTGGGGCTAAACTCTTGAAGGTAGCCTTGTTTTTGGCTTCTCTAGATTTAGTCCTTTTCTAGTGGGCACACAGTAGCTCCCCGTCCCTTTCTTGTCTCTTTCTTTCCCGTGGGATTGGTGGGCTGTGCACGGGTGGCTCCAGAGTGAGGTTACGGGCTGGCATAGACTTCTGGTGACCCGGACTTCCTTCTGTCGGCAGCCAAGTGCATTAAAATATGGATGGTTGGTCCGTAACACCTATCATTTGCCGTATTTTTCTTTGGGTCCCTCATTTTCCTTAAGCATTGACTTGTTTGGTTGTGTCCGTGCTCTCTAATACTGTATATATTATCCCAGTTTTTGTGGTTGATTTCTAGTCCCCATACTTCAGAAGGTGTGTGCCCAAGTTTGATCTTGGCTTACGGCAGGTGACAAATCGGTCACCAAGGCCTGATGTGTGAAGCTAAGGTGTGGTAAGAGTAGAATAAAGCTCTTCAAGCTACTGGAGGCTCATTAAAAAATAATATTTCATTACACTTAAATTTCTCTACCACGAGAGCAGGCTACAGTTATTAGCGAAATGTAAAGAGGCTCATAGAAGCTCTCCCCTTTTACATATACAGTATACAGATGCACTAGTAACCCAACCCATACATGAAACAAAAGTGACAATGTTTCAGTCTTGATGACTTAATAAGGGTACAGGATAGACTGAAACATCATCACAATACTGTACTTCATGTGTGTGTTGGTTGGGTCATTTGTGTCACCCACATTATTGTGATGTATGTGTGTATGTATTTGTTATTGTGACTGATTGTCTCCGCACATAGGTACATGGAGCTGGTAGAGGCAATGCAGCCAGACTGGTATGAGGCCCTCAGTGATGCTGACACAGACATGAAGTCATCTAAGAAGAGAATATCAAAGTCATCCACAAAAACCTTGGTGTTCCTCAATCAGTGCATAGCTCGACACAAGGCCTCCCAAGTATGGGTCCGAGATGATGTGCCTCTCGGTATTTGTTCTGTTTGATACGTCGTAATGTTGGCTCAGACTTCCTGCTTATTTTAACATTTTATACAATATAGTTTTCATTAATTAGATAACCCACTTGGTGTGAGGTCCAGGACATGATGAGTGGTCCAGGACATGGTGAAGGGGGGTCCAGGACATGATGAGTGGTCCAGGACATGGTGAAGGGGGGTCCAGGACATGATGAGTGGTCCAGGACATGATGAGGGGGGACCAGGACATGATTAGGGGGTCCAGAACATGATTAGGGGGTCCAGGACATGATTAGGGGGTCCAGAACATGATTAGGCGGTCCAGGACATGATTAGGGGGTCCAGAACATGATTAGGGGGTCCAGGACATGATATGGGGCATGACTAGATAAGGGTCCAGGATAGACTGTCGCCCAGTATGCGAACTACCGAACTTGCCTAAAGTAGGTCTTTAGGAAATGTGCCTTTGCATTTCCTAAAGTAGGTCTTTAGGAAATGTGCCTTTAGAGAAACATGCCTTTGTCACATTTTTCTCCTAGCCTTCTTGGGGTGGGCGGTAGAGCGACGGTCTCGCTTCATGCAGGGAGGCGTTCAATCACTGACCATCCAAGCTGCTGGGCACCATTCCTTTCCCCTCGTCCCATCCAAAATCTTTATCCTGATCCTTTCCAAGTGCTATATAGTCGTAATGGCTTGGCGCTTTCTCATGATAGTTCCCTTCCCTTAGTCTTCTGGTATTGAGTGGAGTTTTGTAAATGACCCATATGACTATTTTCATGGTTCCTACTAATGCCATACCTAATATGTAGTCCTTCGAGCTATGGTATTTACCAGTGGATAGGATACCTGTACATTGTTATAACATTAAGCTCTATGTTGTAACTTACATGAAAGAACATGGTAATAGGGCAGTTGCACTTTAAAATCACTTTCAATAAATATACGATGAAACATATGCAGTTATATTTTCCACAAAATGTCCTCAGAAAATAGGGGGTGTGTCTTCAGTGAAGGTGTGTGGAATATACCAGTAATATAGGGAGGGTTGAGCTGATCGCGTGTGGAGGTGGAGGGCATTTGTGACTGAACACACACACAACTAATACGTTCCGTTGTATGCGTGTTTGGTGCATATGGCTCGATTAACAATGTGTTAATCCCAGACTCGCAATTTAAATTATTTTTCCAATCAATGTTCACAGAAACTAAAGGAATCAGCATTATTTGTGCCCCTCCTTGGAGGCCACAGTGAAGACGAGAGAACTGGCTGGTCTAAATCCCTAGTCAGTGGCAGCGTGGACGGGTCCACTGTTTCAGGTTATACAATGCTTGGCCTTCATACCAACGGGCCAAAAGTGGAGAAGCTTGAACCCACGACCATTCACAATCTCGTTAAGGCGTCTCTGGTGAGTACAATACAGTATTCGCAACAGAATTTGATATTGATATCCGTTACTTTTAATGTTCTATATGGTAAATGTTACTTTTAAAATGGGTGTTATTCAGATATAAAATTGCCATTTAAAAGTTTGGAGACACTCTGTAATGTCAATGCAGTAGGTCATTTGAACTGTTCGGGATCCTCGATCCTCTCATCAAAATATGATTGTTGTCTTATGGACTAGCAGAATGACCTTCTCGGGAATGTATTTTCCATATACCTTACTGTGCTGTACAAGTAATTCAAAGTCTCATTTTTTTATGTATAGAAAAGGTAGACACTGGAAGCTCCGTAGAAGTTTATTTGTATGTCATATGTTCATTTAAAAGCTTTTGTAAAGTGTAAGGCAAAAAATCAGCCACAGTAACGAATCTGAAACCAATAACCCAATCCACACACACGTAATTAAATGAAATTGATGGTCACATACGTAATTTCACGTGTGTGTGTGTGTGTGTTAGGTTGAGCTATTACTCAGTGGAGATGTTAATCATTATATTACATAGAGCTTTCATTCTTGCTTAGTACATTGATTGGTTTTGATAATAATTATCAATTAATTTCCATGGTGAGCAGGATCCCTTGCCTCATGATCGTCCACGACAAGCAGCAGGGATGTGGAACCCGCTCACTGTCCTCAAGTTGGCCGAACTTGGAGTGGACATCTTTGACTCTACGTTCCCATTCCTTGTGACTGAAAGAAGAGGAGCTCTTACATTCCCATTTAGATTAAATAGGTTTGTTGTATTGCTTCTGTTTTGTTAGGCCACAAATATAGAGCAAAGCATTAATGCAGTGAGAGTATATTTAGGAACAAAGAGTAACGATAACTGAAAAAGATGTGTTGGCTGAAAGAAATGGCTCCTAGTTATGCCCTACCAAACTGAAACGTTTATTATTTAGCGTAGGCTTTAAAGTGTAAGGGTGCTCAACTTATAGTATATGTACCCCCCTCTTGTGTTCACATGTTCCAAGGTACCTCTTGTGTGTATACATTTAGAGCAACCTTAGAACATACATACACTGTACACTAGAGCAAGCTTGGAACATACATGTACTGTACATCAGAGCAACCTTGGAACATACATGTACTGTACATTAGAGCAAGCTTGGAACACGCCAGCACTAGAGACAGCACCAGTGGTCTGAGTACCTCAGTTTGAGTATCACCTGCTGAGTTTGATTCCATCAATTTCAGGTCTATTATATTACCCGTTAATATAGACTCCTGGGGCGAATATTGTAGGGAAAACAGGTGAGGGCAAGTTAGGGCACGTAAATATGTATATCGTAATTATGTCTTTATTTGGAAATCTCAGATGTGTTCTGCGGTGTAGAGTCTTTTAGCGAAAGTGGTCATGTGCAGGGTGTATCAAGGTATGCAGATGGTGGTCAGGTTTTATTTGTCGTGTTATTGAACATTCATATTCCATTCCTAACACAGCGGGGCAGCACAGATGCTCCGAGTTTTGAATTAAATTAAAAGCAAATTTTATACAGATGGTTTACTAATTAAGATCTTTTTATATTATTTCTGCAGAATGCGAACACATGCGGAGGTCTCTAAAAGAGATAATTTAGAACATCAAAACAAAAAACTGAAAGTATCTGGAGACGGCCCAAAGGCAAAGGGGGAAGAAGATATTTCAAAAAATAATGGGAAGCAGAACACAAACATTGAAGACGAAGAACACTCAAGTCCGTATGAAATCAGTCTGAAAGACAAAAGGTGAGTCACAAGTTGCGACTTTATTACTTGTTTGTTTTGAGGATTGAAGGAGAAATGTTTTTCTATATCTATACGAGTTCATTGATCGGGAAAAAATTGGGGAGTTTGGATTTGCAGTGTTTCCAAAAGGCACATGTACTTTACAAATGTAAAACCACCTGTACAATATTTCGTATCATCTTTCGGTACGTTTTTAAGTGTCATATTGCTCCAGAGCAGATTATTCCAGAATTTATATTCGTTATTATTTCAGCAATATATCTTTGACGAAGCCACTACTGGAGGGATGTGAATGTTATACTTGCAAGAATTTCACACGAGCTTACATCCATCATTTGACCATCGCAAATGAATTGCTCGCACCCGTCTTACTGATGATGTAAGTAGTAAATCTCACTTTTTGTTTTGGCTTCCATTGCAGACTCTAAAGTATTAATTCTCTCTCATCAGTGGAATTTCACATTAGTTCTAAAATTAGTTCCAAAGGGAACCGGTCGGCTGAGAGGACAGCACGCTGGACTTGTGATCCAGTGGTCCTGGGTTCGATCCCAGGCGTCGGCGAGAAACATTGGGCAGAGTTTCTTTCATCCTATGCCCCTGTTACCTAGCAGTAAAATAGGTACCTGGGTGTTAGTCAGCTGTCACGGGCTGCTTCCTGGGGGTGGAGGCCTGGTCGAGGACCGGGCTGCAGGGACACTAAAAAAAAGTCCCGAAATCATCTCAAGATAACCCCTTTTTGCTTGAATCATTATTACACTAGAATTATAATTGGATAACACTCATTTTTGGTCTCTCGTGGTCAGTCTTTTAAAATACCATAATAAGACATTCGTTATTCATTTTGCTTCCTACTTTTAAATACAATTTACTTTGTGTTACATTTCTTATTTCCTAGCTACATGGGGGTGTGCAGTAATAGGTTTTGTTTTCATTTTGAGCCTTTATACTCAAAGACATGTGTGGTAGTTAATAAATAACCTGGATACAAGATACTGTACATTGTACATGAGACAGAGTGCACCCAACATATTTCTATCATTTCACATGCAAAATGTGTATGTTTCATATATAAATTATTGGTCAATATTAAATTAAAAACCACAGTACAGTATAACGCTATTAAAAAAAAAATGCAAAAGCATAGATTTACCCAAATTTACCGTCAATTTTGAAAATAACACAGGTACAGTGACACCTCGGCTTACGAATGCCCCTCTTTATGAACTTTTCGGGTTACGAGCCCAATTTCTTCATAAAATCCGAATCGGGTTACGCACTTTGCCTCGGTAAACGAAGTTTGTTGATACGCATATGGCCGACCTAGTGCGGGGTGGTACAGTAACTGCGCCTCGGTTTACCAGTGCCTCCTGCCTAGTGACAATCGCGCCTGAATTCTTTGTAAAGAATTTCAGTGTTTTTCAGATTTTTGGGTATTTGAACATAAAAGTTATTATTATATATCTTGTCACGGGTCCCAAGAAAGCCAGTGGTAAGGTTCAAGCCAAGAAAACACATGTGAGAATGACCATAGAGGAAAAACAAGCGATCACTCGTAAACATGAAAATAGTACACGGTTTGTTGACAAGAGGCAGCTGAGGAAATGTCTTCAGGGAAGGAGGAGGCAATTATGAAATTTGCAACGGCCTACTACAGCTTGCATTGGGCGAGTCATTTCAACAAAAGTTTGCATTTCTTCCCACAGTTTACACCACTTCCTAATTGTTGAGGAAGGGACATTCTGTTGGTAGGTAGGTAGGATTTGGGTAGATTTGGGTAATTCTACATTTTTTGTTTTAGGTGGTATTTCATTAAAAACAAATAATAGTATTCAAACATAAGATTGTTTGTTCACATTTTACATTCATTGCCAATATTGCTGTAGGAAAAATATTTCATCTATCTGTTTAATTTTCATAATTGTTGGTCAGTTTGGGTAAATTTTTATAAATCTAAGTTTTAGTTTTTGATTGTATTTAATTGTAAAATGTAGGTTCATTAATTGGAGCATCAATACGGTACTTGCAATAGATTCTCCATGGTCAGTCTTTTATTGCGTAACGAGTGAGTCAGAATTATAATACAGTACTGTATTTGTATATTTCATATCTATGAATATTAACAATCATAAGATACTAGATATATCTAGATACTAGATATATAACTTAGATACTAGATATATAATTTAGAAATTAGATATATCTATCTAGATACTATATGTGATATCTAGATACTAGATATGTAATCTAGATACTAGGTATGATATCTTGATAATACATGTCATACCTGGATACTAGATAACATATGCTAGATACTGGATTGAAATTGAAATTGAAATTGAAATAAGTTTATTGAGGTAAAATACACACAAAGGGATGAGGTAGCTCAAGCTATTCTCACCCCATTCAGTACAACGTGTTAATATATACATAGACACACATCACAAATAAACATATTACCAAACATTCTGAGAGGTAAACATATACATTTCCTCCTTCACAAGTAGTATGGTATCAGACGTACAAACAAATACTTGTATGACCTAGGTATACTGTATAGACAAGATACTGGATTGTACTATACAATTTATGTAAGATCTCGGTTTATGCCTTCATGATTTTCCTCAGGCATAACCTGCATCACTGGATGGGTTTCTTCTCAAGTATCCGAGAAGCAATAAAGACGGACCACTTAGGAGACCTGCAGGCATTAATAACAACCGCGACCTTTGAATCCAACGAGGTATAGTTGTTATTCCAATGTTATGAAATATGTGAGTTATGTTAATACAAGTTATGAAATGTTGGGTCTGCCAGTTTTCTTACTTGTTGTTCGTGCAGAAGTTTTATAAATCCAGGTTTTAATGGGGAAGTTAGTTTTTTTTTATATCCTTATATACACGGATATGTACGTAGGGGCCTGCAGGAGGGGGGGGGGAAGGGGCGACGATCTCGCTGAATGATTTTTGTTTATATTTGCCGGACATTCTTTGGGTGTGTATGTGGTTGTGTAGAAAAACAAGACAGATGTATTTTTGCATGAAAATGATAAGAAACTACATTTCTTGTATTTGGTTAGATGGTTTATTTTATTTTGTGCGTAAAATTTGTCCAACTTGACACTTAATCTATAATGGTCCAGGACGCACTGAAACGTTGTTGCTTCTCCATCTTCTGAGTTGTGGTTTGGTCATCATTTCTTCAGCCACGTTATTGTGACTCGTCATCTGAATACAATAATAGGCTATAAAAGTATGGACATAGGGGGACAGTGCTAATTATGCTTTGCAGTGATTATCGGTTACTATCAGGGAGTGAAATCGAGCTTTCTATGCCCCGCCTACTAGTCTTGTTGTATCTGTTGTGTTATAATTTAATTATTCAGATGTTCAAATTCTTCATTGAGTTGGGCCCTTAATATCTAAAATTAATGGATGATGCTTATGAGTAATGTACTCATTACACAGGTAATTAAGGTAGAGTAATTATCAAGAGAAATCACTAAGCCATTACGAGTTATAGCACTTGGAAAGCATAAGGATTTAGGTTAAGATGAAGGTAAGGAATGGTGATCAACCACTCGGACGGTCAAGAATTGAATGCCAACCTGCAAGAAGCGAGACCATTTCCCTAGCGTCCAGTCCAAGTACATCTTTATTTAGAATACACGTACAGTAATATAAAATGAATGCAATGTTGATTTAATGCACCAATTGCTAGAAGAATATAGTATGAACTTTTACAATGTTTTGCATTCGTAAGTAATACCATGTTTTGTTTTGATTAATTTAGCAAGTGATGCTGTAGTGGTGCATTTTCCTTGATTCTCTTAGTAGCATTTGATTGTTGTAGATTATATTCTCACTTCTAATGTTGTTTACTTTGATGGCAACATTAGAAAGTAGTGTATGAAAGTTGTCATTGTTGAAGAGAATCGAGGAACGTTCATCATTGCCGCATCACCTGTTAAATTAATACTAAAAAAATATATGGGATTTATGCAATCCTGGACGACACTGACCTCTTCCCATCACTTTTCCTCATTTTAAGCAGCTGGTACTGTGTTTCTTCATTAGATTTGATGATATCAGGCCCTTGTAGGCATAATGTTCACTCCAGTAAAGTCTAGTCTCGGGTGTTTGTCTACTTTGTTGTCAGCACTTTGGGATCTTCTTAAACGTCTCTATCATTACATTGTAAATGTGTGGCCACGTCTGTGGTAGAAAATAATAATAAAAAAAATTACCTTGGTGTTTATTTTAAACACGAAAAAAGTTCTTGCTCTCATTTCATGTACACTGTTGAATAATTCTAGGAATAATTTATGTTTGATGTACTGTATATTATAATATGTAATTTATGCCACATTCTTGGTATACCAAATTTACATGCACACACAAACAAAATTAATTGAACGAGGCACTTTTAGTAGGAATTCAGTATGATGCAGCACTAAATTGCATTGTTTTAAGTCCCGAGAATGCCAAGACGTCTCTCTCATAAGAATTCCCATGATGTGACCTTCCTGTATAAGATGTTAGTACTTCACGAGGAAGCCTGAGACAGCCGATAGATTAGAATAAATATACCCAATATTTGTACAGTGAAAATTGTCTGAAAATCAAGTGGTAGTATTTACAAATATATTTATATTAAAACAGAACTAGTGCACTGGATAGCCTGAACTATAAGATATGCTGAGAAAATCCACTAGCACTGAGGTGACGCGAACCAGCGATAAAAAAAACGTGCAGCCTCTCACCTTACCACTGTACCTCCACAACTTGTTTATAAGATATACAATCTGGGATTCCACTGAATCCACAGGATGTCTGGAGGCCTCTACTGAAGCCTGGCCAAGTTTTGTGTGTAACTCCCACGCACTCGAGTGTGTGTTTGTGATGTATATGAGTTTGGGTGGGTATTAATACGAGTTGCCTCGTCTTAGCCAATAATTTTTTTGCAGTTTCTTCAGTAGTTATGTTCTTATTGATAATATACATACATTCATTCATATTTAATATGTTCGTTCATTTGTACATTTATGATGCATTCGTTGATGTGTACATTCATCGATACAATGATTTGTACATTCATTGATTCATTCATTTATACTGTACATACATTCATGATACATTCATACATTGTAGGCCTAGATACATTATCCTCAAAGTAATGTAATGAATCCATGTTTTTGTAAAATTATATGTACATAAGTCAACACAAATACAGTACTATAGTGAATGAACTAAGCTACATAAAAAAAAAAACAATAATATAGGCATCCAAGGCCAACATTGGAGTCCGCAGCCACAAGCAGTTCGTGGCGTGTAAGGTCTGGCATTGACAAGCATGTAATGCTCACCTACCGGTAAAAAGATAGAGATATTATTTTTACTTTAACTTCTACCGGTAAAAAGATAGATATATTAATTTCACTTTAACTTCTATCGGTAAAAAGATTGATACAGTATATTAATTTCACTTTAACTTCTATCGGTAAAAAGATAGATATATTATTTTCACTTTAACTTCTATCGGTAAAAAGATAGATACTGTACAGTATACATGTATTATTTTCCCTTTAACTTCTATCGCTAAAAAGATATATATATAATTTTCATTTTAACTTCTACCGGTAAAAAGAGTGATATCTTATTTTCACCTTAACTTATATTTTGCATGAAAGTTAATAATTCTATTCGGAAATTTCTGTTTTTGCATAGGTGGATATGCATGTAAATCGTTAACTGCATGTTTGGAGTTAATCCTGAAAATTTGGAAATCATAAATGACTTAATCCTGAAAATTTGGAAATCATAAATTACATATCAAAATTTTCTTGTTATTTTTTCCATACAAATTTGTCAGGGAATAACAACAACAAATGGAGAATTCTAATTTTATTATTATAAAATTAGGAACAAGGAACTCGAATTCCTATACATATTAGCATAAAACATCAGGACTCGATGAAGTAATTCCAACAGATAATTATTTATTTTATTACATAAATTCACTGATCATGTATTGTGTTAAAAAATCGGAATCTGGAAAAACAAAATACAGTACATGTGTTTTAAAAAGCTAAATTAATCCAGTTCCAGTACTCTGAAATTTCAGGATTTGACAACCTCCAGGAAGCTTGGCTTTTAGGTACTAGTCATAATTCTTGGATGTTATATTAAAGGCCTGAAATCTTTTTAATTTATCATAAGTGTCAGTAAGAGCATAAAAGCAGAAAAGAAAGGTCACAGTAATATCCATTATCAATAATGCACCAATGCCCAATTTATTGATGGCTGCAGGAGTGTTAAGCCAGCATTTTGGGTGTTGATGTTTGATGTCATCGGTCCAAGCTACCTTCGTTCTCATGTCTTTCGTCAGGTCTTTCTTCATCACTACGTTGTCATTTTTCTCTGAGGTTTCTCTACCGCAATCATTCCTTATATATTTATCAATGAAGCTGTGAAGAAAAACCACAAACCCAACTCTGATCATACAGTAGCAAATGAAGAACTCGACGAGTTTCGGCACGGGAGAATTTGGAAGGGTTGACGACACTTGGGAGAAAAGTGAAGCGATCACAATGAGCAGTGATAGCGAGACGGTAATCCGGTCGGTAAAGTTGTCGAGTTGGAAGTGTGTGAGAGTAAGTTCTGACAATGCACATAGGACGATGCAAGGTAGAAACGTCGTTAAGAGGTACGCTCCGTACTTTCTGATTAAGAGTATTCGTAGGGTTACTTTAGTGACTTGACCTCTTGAGGTGTCATAGGTAAATCTAGGTCGAGTGACATGGTACATTGAAATTGTTGAGTCATTACCCAATACTTTGATTCCCATAGTGTTATTGACATTCCACTGTGGCTGGCACTCTAAAGTGTGTTTGAGACTAATATTCATGTTACATTCTTGTGTGTCAAATGGAAATATGAGGAAATCATACTCACAGCTGAATGTGAAGAGGTACTTGATATCATGACTGATCATCACATCTGTGCCGTTCAGTTTCAGGACTGCAACAGGAAATGATTTTGTACATTATACAAATATAACATTTTAAGGTAAACATTTTGACAATGGTGGAGTTAGAGGGGAAAAGCGCTGCTTGGGGAAAGGGAGGCGGGTGGGGGGAGGGGGCCGGTGTCCAAGGGTAGTGTTGGATCAATGTGGAATAAACGTTATCAACATTGAATCAACGTAAATTGACATTGATTCAACATTATTGATGTTGATTTAATGTTACCAACCTTTGATGCTGATTTGGCATCGAGTTGGCCAAATTGGATATTGTACCTATCGGGGGTTGATTTACCTTGTGGGTTCTTCCTATTGGTTTCCCATTGGCAGGAATAGGAAGCCTGTTAGGTTCGTAGAGGTTGCCCTAGGCCACCTAGGGCCTCTCTTTCCCCATGATGCAGCCCACAACAGTTGCCTGACTCCCGAGTACCAGTTGACTGTTAGGAGAGTATGGATATATGGAAACATACCCAGTGAAAAACTAGTAATATAAATAAAAATGATATTCCTTATGTTTTTATGTAATATTTATCTATGTTGAAGATGAATATTTTTAGAAGTCTTTGGAGGAAGATTGGGATTGAACGAGTATCCTGGACAATGCCAGACGCACATGCCTTAACCCATGGACCATGATATGCTAAACCTCTCATTACTCAAAATATTGGTTCAATCCCAATCCTGCTCTTAAAATTTTTCATAGATATATAAGTTATTGTGATTTCATTGTATATAAATATTTCAAATAGGAGAGAACGGAGGAAGACAACAGAATGTTTGATGACGTTCTTGGCTCACGAAGACAGCAAACTGACTGCCAGACCTGGTAGAGAAACACTTAAGTTGAGAGTTGACTTTTTAAGATGATAATGTATCATTTTTTGGGCTTCATTAAATGTAATGAAGACCTTACAAGCAAGCCGTCATCCCCAATAAAGTGCATGCTGTCTTGCTGTTTTTCTTCAGTGTTATCGTCATAACTACATTCAGTATTAATCTTAAGACTTGTCTGCTTGTTTTACGATTTTCTCAAAATGACGAGAATGATTAACAGCCTTCTTGAGGTTATCTTGAGATGATTTCGGGGCTTTAGTGTGCCCGCGGCCCGGTCCTCAACCAGGCCTCCACCCCCAGGAAGCAGCCCGTGACAGCTGACTAACACCCAGGTACATATTTTACTGCTAGGTAACAGGGGCATAGGGTGAAAGAAACTCTGCCCATTGTTTCTCGCCGGCGCCTGGGATCGAACCCAGGACCACAGGATCACAAGTCCAGCGTGCTGTCCGCTCGGCCGACCGGCTCCTTGAGTGAAAACTGCAATGCTTTATCATACTTGAATAATATATCATTCAATCATTGCATATTGTAGTATAAATAAGTATTATTATTGTTAGAGTATTGTTATAAATATAAATCACCCAAGCCATGCACAAAATTAATTGAAAGTGTAACGTTTCAGTTTATCTGGGATTCTTATGAATTTGTGATGAGGAGTCTATTTTAGATTGAAACGTTGCCACTTTAATTTGGTTGGGTTATTTATTTCAGCTGGGTATTATGACTTTTCTGTTCATCATCATCATTATTATTATTATTATTATTATGCAGAACTCAATAAAATCACAATAGCATGTATTATCTAAGTGAAAATCAGTAAAAGTGTATGGTATCCCTGCACTGTTCTTACTAATTTTATCATTATTATTATTATTATTATTACAGTATTATTATTATTATTGAGCAGGACCTTGAACTAAAACCAGTAATGGTGCCATGGGTATGTAAGTTAGTATATCAGGTGCAGGCAGGCCAGGTGATGATGCTCAGATAACTCTATATAATAGAACTTCTAGAGATTGTGAAAGGGCGGCAAAGTTGCGGAAGTATTTATAATAATGGCAACATATATACAGGTCAAGAATGATGAAGAACATGGAGTAGGGGACTAAGTATGTAGTAACTGGATCAGGGGCAAATAATAATGCTAGTACAGTAATATTTATAATTGATAAAATGTCCGTAGAAAAATGTTATATTGTGGTTAACCCTTTAAATATGCATGCCATCTTAGGAGGTTATGCCAACCTGTCCTCCTACAAAGAACGTCAGTTTTTGTTCTTATGCGTTACATAAGGCCAAAAATTGTCATACTAGAAAGTGGAAGTGCCTCGTGAACATGACGTGCTGTCCCGTTTTCTGTTTTGGGTCCTCTCGTAGGTTAG